AGGGAAATCCTTGTATGTCCGCAGTTATTTCCCTGGGATAGATTCCTAGAAATGGGATCAACAGATCAAAGATGATCCGCATTTTAAAGGTCTTCCACGTGCACTAACAAATTGCTCCACAGAAAGTTTGTATAAGTAACGTTTCCACCAGGAACGTACGAAGCTGCCCCTTTGTGGGTCCACACTGGCTGTTGTCACGTTTCTCAGTATCTTTCTGGAAGTAGCGAAAACATTGACTTTTTCAAAGGACAGGTACTTGCATCATGAGATTGTTTATTTATAAGACTAAGATGTAGCCTTTGAAGTCAATTCCAGAAGAGTAGTTTTGTGTGACGCGGTCCAGTTCAGTCACTGTTCACATGCCAGACACTGGAAGAGATGAACGAGGCACGGTCCCAGCTCCTGAGGAGCCTGGTGACATGGCAGAGAGTGCCCTCCTGTGGGGACTGACCTTAGGAGAGGCAGCGCTCCTGAGCTGGGTTCTGCAGTGTTGAATTAGCTCATTACATTAGAGTCACACCTTGTCATGTAACCATCATGACAAAAACTTTAAATGTCTGTATAGCTACAGTGTTTTTAACTAACCAAGGAATTACTGCATTTTTTTCAGTTCAAATGTTGAGCGTTTCCATTATTTATAACAAGATGAGTTAAAGTCCATTAGAACTGGAAGAATAAATGCTATTTGAAGCTATCCCTAATGGCCTGGCATCTTCATAGTACGTTTTTTGTCTGCAGAGCCAGCCTCCTGTACGGAGCCGGGAGGCCGGGTGACCACTTGCAGGCGGACATCTCTGAAACCTAGTAGCTGTGAGACGTGTCTGTCTTGTCTGCCTTGTAATGCCTGAGGCAGCTTTGGCAATTTCACTCTCATCTCAGATGGCAGGTAGATAGTAATTTCAGGACAAATGCAATCTGAGCTTTATATCCTGTCACTGAGCTACTGTGAAGTACATTTTAGGCCCGGCCTAAGCAGTAAGCGTTTCACTTACTGTGTCCTTTTCTTTATCTGTGTGGTTTCCCGTTGACAGACCGAGTTTCTGTCAGAGGACCATCCCATTGTGTGTAATGACAGCCTGACGTAGAGCAGGCAGGTTCCAGCTGGACCCCAGCTCTTCCAGGCTTCGTGTGCTCCACATGGTCCGGTTCACTCCTCGCCAGTGAGGCTTCAGGGCTAAAGCATTTTGCATTTCAGTTTCTTACGTGTTTTTGAAAAGGAAGGATGTAGACATTTAGACAGAGTAGAAGGAGCACCAGACTTTGGATCTGAGGGCCCGGTGGTGTGACCTTGGGCAGGTCACCTGATCTTCACTTCCTTACCGCTGAATGGGTGGCTGAAAACCGTCTACCACATGGGGTCATCGGGCAGAGAAGGGCGTGTTCACAGTCAGTGCTTGGTTATCTATGAAGCATTATTCAGACTTACGTCATCACCCTTGTCACCGAGAAGATTTGAAACCAGTTTTAAAATTTGCTTCCTTCAAATACTATTTCAGATACATCAAAAGGGTCTCTAAGTTGGGAAATGTAACTGTTCATTCACCATCAGAAGTAACGCTTAGCCACATGCATTAAGAGGGAAGTGTGTGGTGTGTGCAGGTTTCACGTGAACAGGGTCCTCATGCAGTGATCTTGGTGTGCACGTCCTAATTTCATCCTCTACCAAAACATGAGAGTTTTGTGTTCGATGAAAAGTAGAAGAAAGATAAGGATGAGCCAGGGCGAGGCCAGGAATCAGCAGTACAAGCCTGAAGGTCAGTGACACTCACTGGGCGGTACTGACGGCCTTAAACTCTCAGAGAAGCATCCTAGCAGGACGCAGACGCACTGGCCGGCATCCCAAGGGGTTAACTAGCGACCTGGGGGCATCCCGTCCGGTTGTCAAGTGGAAGGCTACCGGTGTAGAGGGCCTGTTGGCTGCTGGGTGATGCAGGGTCATCACAAGCAGCGTGACAGACCAGGCCCTGCGTCCGCAGGCACTCCAAAGTCCGGCAGAAGAGTGAGATGGACATCGTGGTGAGTGAGGACCTGAACGGAGCCGTGAAGTTCTCCAGCTCGTTACCCCACCCGAGCAAACTCAACAGGTATGGCCTCAGGCCTTCCCCTCCGCGTCGTGTCCTTCCTGTTTTAGAAATGGATGTCAGAGCCGATGTCCTGGTAGCTCTGACATCGGGACATCCTGCTGTGGCCGGCACCTGGCATAATGCATCTCAGTGTTAAACTTAGAACGCCTTCCCCCCGACCCCGTCTAGAAGTCATCTCCTTCCCCAGTTCACAGAGCAGCCTGTACCTTTCATCACTCCAAGAAGCCTCTACCTCGCGTGACATTTGGTTTTGCAGAGGGTTTACCTTCTGGTCAGCTGTAAGCCTTTGACGGCCAGGGGATTACGCTTTATTTCTCTTTGCCTGCAGCCTAATCGTGTGTTACTGTCAACAAACAAACCTTTGCGGTTTGAACGGCACTGCCGTCTGGTCTTAGAGCCAGAATATGAACAGTCAGGTAATCCTATCAGAATTGGGGGCTAGTACAGAGGAAAGCTGCCAGGCGGCCACACACAGCTGAGGAACATGGAGCACAGTGACCATGAGTGTTTGGAGGACGGGGAGAGAGGTACCGAGTGGACTAGCTGCGCAGGATGACTGGGTGGGCTGGAACTTTCTGGAAGAATCTGGAAAGATGTGCATGACAGGCATGGGGAAAGATGGGGGTGGGGGGGTGGGCCCAGGAGAGGCAGCTCGTAGCGGTGCTGGCCTCTGCAGGGCTTTCTTGGGGGCGTGGCGAGGGCCTCTGAGGGTGCCGGCGGGGGCCCCCCCGGCCCGGGAGAAGTGAGAACTTTGTCGTGTGGACCCCCTGAGGGGTCCCTGGGGCGACCGACAAAGCGAATCGGCAGCGAGGGGTCTGGATTGTGTGGGCGGTTCTCCTGAGGTGGGGCGGGCCTGGGAAGCACATAGAAAGCTTCCTGAGGTTCTTGCACAGCCATCTGCCAAGATGCCCTGATGTGAGGGTGTTGGTGCGGATGCGGGAGGGGTGAGCGCCTGAGTGAGTCGTTTTGTTGGAAAGGCTCGTCTTTCCTCAGGTTAGTTCATCCTTAGGGATCACTTTGGCCCCGTCCGCGTGATGGTCACGTGCGTGTGAGGTGTGAGTGCCTTTCAGTTCCCACGCGGGGCCCTGAGGCTGGCTCTGGGTTCATACGCACGCGCGCGCGCGCACACACACATGGCCCCCTCTTCTCAGCGCGCGCGCGCGCGCACACACACGCACACACACGCACGGCCCCCTCTTCTCAGCGTCCTGGCCCAGCGGCTGGAGAAGTGGCTGCAGCTGATGCTGATGTGGCACCCCCGACAAAGAGGCACCGACCCCGTCTATGGGCCCAATGGCTGCTTCAAGGCCCTGGACGACATCTTAAACTTGAAGGTGAGCCTACGCCAAGTTAGCCCGAGGCTGCGGGCCGTCGGCTGCCCGACCAGTGGGCAAACGCAGGCTCCCATGAGGGCGTCTCCACGTGAGAGGATGATGGGACCCCTTGCTGACTGTCGTGGGTCGCGAGGTCGTAGCTGTGAACGGACAGGAGTGGGAAGACTCCTGTGTGTGGCCCAGCGCTGGCCTTCCTCCCCAGGCCGGGCCTCTGGGAGGCTGGGAGGTGTGGGGAGTAGCAGAGGATCTGGGCCAGCAAGCGGGAGTCTGTCAGGTGGTTTGTCCTGGGTTGCGTTGCAGCTGGTTCACGTCTTGAACATGGTCACGGGCACCATTCACACCTACCCTGTGGCAGAGGACGAGAGTCTGCCTAGCTTGCAGGCCCGGATCCAGCAGGACACAGGCATCCCTGAGGAGGACCAGGAGCTGCTGCAGGAAGCGGGTCTGGCCTTGAACCCCGACAAGCCCGCCGCTCAGTGCGCCTCCGACGGCAAGGTGAGACCGACCTCCTGCAGGCACCCCAGCCGCACCCGATCCCGGAGAGCTGATCGCCCATCCCGTCCCCACTCCATCGTGCCAGGCAGTCTGTTACCATGCAGGGCAGGCGCCTGCCTGTTCTGAGTTTGGAATGCGAGATCCCGTGAACCTGATAGGAGACCTGAGTCACCCCGCGCTTGGCCTGTTCCTTCCAGACCGCTGGGAGTGCCTTTCTTTTGCCTTTGCTGCCAAAGTGATGCTTCATTTTTCCGAGTCAACCAAGACTATTTCTGACACACCTCGTGTGTGCAGAGCCGTGCCGACAGCTGCACAGAAAGAGCTGGAAAGTTAACGCAGGAGAGTCAGTCACTGGACAGTAAAGCAAACCATCTAAGTTGCACGATAAAGACAATCAGAGAATAAAACAGAGCAGAGTAAGTTGTAGATGAGGTCTGCATTCAGGAATAAGTGTAAAAGGAACAGCCAAGGGAAGTAGAGGCCGCGGTCCCTAGGAAAGGCTCAGTGGGCACCCAGCACCTCCTCTCTGAGGACGGTGCTGTCGGGACCCTCTGAAGACTCCCCGCTTGTTGCTCGAGAAAAGGAGGGGCTGGGTCCACGAGGCCTCATTTTGCTCTTGTCCCTTTGCAGCTGAACGAGGGCCGCACCCTGGATATGGATCTCGTTTTCCTCTTTGACAACAACAGGGTCGCCTATGAGACCCAGATCTCCCCACGGCCCCAGCCTGAAAGCGTCAGCTGTATCCGTAAGAACAGCGTGATCTTTTTAAAAGATAATTACTTACAGTGCTTGGGACGAGGCTGGAGGGAAAGTCCTGGACCGAGGGAGGGGTCGCCCCTGAGAAGATGAGTCCCTCCGGCCCTCAGGCAGCCTTCCTCACTTGCACCCGTGAGGAGTAGCCCAGGTGAAGAGAGGAATGGACATCCATCTTCAATTAATGTCAACCTCATTTAAACAGAGGATAGACAGTACTGCCCACAGGCCACTGAAATTCAACCACGTGACCATTTTCTTGATTTTTGAAGTCGTCTTCATATTTTGATAATCGATACGTGCACGCGATACCAAAAATCAAAAAGATTGTACGGTAGGCAGTAAGTGCCTCTGTCTCCCCAGCTCCCCAGGGAAACCACTGCTGCCTAACTCCTTGGGTCTACCTTCCAGGGTGTTCTGTGCGTCTAACTTTTGACCTGCCTGTGCTCTACCAGGGCACAAAAATGTCTGCGACGGTAACCAGGCCCAGCACCCGACATGGTTGTGTAGCAGCAGAGCACTACATAACGGCACAGTGTAGACGTGCCTGCGAGCTCCGCGGGCAGGAGGCGGTCTGTCGCAGGCGCCGCTCCCTGACGGTCGTGTGTGTCTCTGGCCAGTGCAAGAGCCCAAGAGGAGCCTCCCGTTCTTCCAGCTGAGGAAGGTGTGGGGTCAGGTCTGGCACAGCATCCAGGCCCTGAAGGAGGACTGCGGCCGCCTGCAGCAGGGCCAGCGCGCCGCCATGTACGTGCCCGGTGGTTCGCCTTCTCTTGCTCAGAGCTGCCCGGTGGCCCGGCCGCAGGACGGTGGCAGAGGCGAGGGCCCAGGGGTGGCTGTTGGGAGAGTGAGCAGGGGAACGCTGGTCTGGAAGGGTGGGACGGAGGGAGGCTCCGTCAGACCCGACCAGGCCAGTGTGGTCAGCGGGCGGCGCTGGGGCCGCGGAAGGGCTTGCTGCGGCGTGGGTCGGCCGCCCTCCCGTGACCGTCCTGCCAGGCCGGGCTGACTCTTTGCCCAGGTTGTGGCTGATTTGGGTCACTTTGTGTGGTACTTGGCCTAATTCCAGTTTGGGAGCAGAACCTCACCCGTTGCCGAGGGCCAGGAGATTGTCATTGTTGCGGTCATAGGTGGCTGCTCTTGTTGCGGGTATACGAGTTACGGCAGGGGCCTGCCGTCGCGTTTGAGCTGGGTTTGCTCTTGTCCGGGAACTGGCACTTGGAGGCCGGAGACACCCCACGGTTCCGTTTCTCGGGGTCCCTGCAGGATGAATCTGCTCCGGAACAACAGCTGCCTGTCGAAGATGAAGAATTCCATGGCCTCTATGTCTCAGCAGCTCAAGGCCAAGCTGGATTTCTTTAAAACCAGCATCCAGATTGACCTGGAGAAGTACAGTGAGCAGAGGGAGTTTGGGATCAGTGAGTGTCCCCTCTGTGTGAGTCTCGAGGGACTGTGCCTTTCTTCTTCTTTCCGAAGTGTCTTTTGTCCCCTTGCCATTGAATCGCTTCTTTTCTGTTTGGGTTTGGGCATGTTTTCGTTTTGCTTTTAATTTATTTTCCTTCCATTTTTTTTCAGCATCAGACAAGCTGCTGCTGGCCTGGAGGGAGATGGAGCAGGCCGTGGAGCTCTGTGGACGGGTAGGAGGCACCCTGGGGTCCCCAGGCCGGCCAAGGGCGCGAGCCTCTTCACTGCTGTCCTCCCCTTTCTCACTGCGCGCTCAGTCGAGCTTGCATGTCGAAAATGAGATTTTCCTCTCCCAGCTCTCTGCCCTCAGCTAGGACTTGCTGGAAAGAGGGGGAGAGGCAGGGGGCGGGGGACCTGCCGTGGTAGGTCCGGGAGCTGCACAGATTGGAGTCAGGATTACGACGTGAATTGTCCTCTTTCCACGAGAAGGGGCCTTGGATGAAAGAGCAGCATGCTGTCTCGTCGGAGGTTGTCCTAACCTCCTTGGGACAAGAAATCCCCAGGAAAGAATGGGTCTAAGGGGCAAGTCTTAGGACACTGTAAATCAGATGCCACTGAAAAGTGTTGATTATGAGGCCGGGGTGTGACGTGGCAGACCTCACACAAATGGAAGACTGTGGTCTCCAAGGTTTTTTCCTGGACTTTGTCACCATTTTCCCTGTGAACTTGGGCAGGGAGTTTCACCTCCGTGTCTTAACATCTGTTTCTATAAATCAGTACCGATATGCCTCCTTAAAGGTGGGTGTCCATCGGCAGTAACTTGTTTGAGCACAGGGACACGAGCGCACCCCCAGTCTTGGCACTCGTGGGTGTAATCCCTGAGATAATCGACGAATTTGGAGAAGAGAATGTGCCCCGGCCACTTCTCCACGCCAGGACCGGGCCAGGCCCCGACCTGCTCTGTCTCCTCTCACCGTAACGCAGCCCTTTGAGAGCCTGGTTTACGGGTGGAGGAAACTGCAGCGCAAGGTCAGGTAACCTGCCCTAGGGCCACACAGCTGACAGGTGGCCGACCCCAGATCCGACTGCAGGGCTCCAAGTCCATGTCCTTCCGGCTGGTCAGCTGAGGGTCTGCGGTGAGGCCGGAGGGCTCCCCCGAGAACTCAGGAGTTTCTCGCTGCGTCCTTGGCCTCAGCACCGCTCTT